ACACACATACCCCCACTGCCTGCATCTATCCTCGGCTAATATACTCTTCACTTTGGGCATGTGTCATGAACTTGGGGTTCAGGCTTCCCGGGCTCACAGCCTGGCTCGGCCCCTGCTCGGTCAGCTCCGGCTGCTGTAACCTATCCTCAGTCTGGAGGTGGGGGGCCTGAGAGCAGGGAGCTGGCGGGGGGTACTCCTGGGGGGCTCCTCCTGATTCCGTCCTGTCACCGCACCCTCACATGGTGGAGAGAGGCCGGCTCAACACTCCCGCCCTAATCATCTCCTAATACCACTCTGCTGCGGGTTAGGGCATCACCACTAAATTTGGGGTGACACAAACCTGTAGTCCAGGACAGTTCCGCAATGGCTGGGGGACCCTGGGAAGCTGCCATCCTCTGTGCCTCGGACGCCTGTCCATCAGGAGGTCAGAACTCACTCGGGAGGGCGGACAGCTGGGCCCCAGGGCCAGGCCTGACCCTGGAGAACCAGTCCGAGAAGCTCTTCCTCTTCCCAGTGCTGGGCGGTGTGGAGGGGCTGGCGGGGAGGGAAGGCCTGCAGTGCTATGGGGTGGTGAGGGGAGGTGTCCTTCCCTCCTGAAAACTCTGGGTGGACGAACCAGGCAGCACTCACCTGGGCCTCAATCCCCTGCAGCAAGGGTCTGGGCCTCCCCGGCCAGACAGGTGCCTCCCCCCAGCGCAGCTGGCCCCTCTCCTGGCCTCAGGGCCCCAGTGGCCTGTCCAGACCACATTGCCACATCTGGACAAGCTGGGAGCTGGGGCTCCAGGCCCACTCAGTGCACACGTGAGCAGGGGGTGGCAGGCCAGGCTCCAGGCTCAGAGAATCCTGGGTCAGTCCCCAGTGTCACCAGAATCTTGCCGGGTGACCCGAGGCAAGTCACTCGGCATCTTGATCTGGGAGATAGTGTCCTGCCGTCGGTGTCAGTGGATCTCCAGCTTTGCGAACATCGATTGGCTCCTGCTCTGTGCCCAGTGCGGCACGTGGCTCTGGGGCAGGCTCGGTGCCGTTCGGGTTTGTGGCCCGCTGGCTTCCAACTGTTGTGCGTGTTCTTGGTCCCCGAGGGCTGCCCCTGCATCCTGGGCTCCGAGTCGTCACCTACCTGCCCTGACACTGCTGAAGGGGGCCCATTTCTGTCACCTCTAGGGGCTGGTCCTTGCAGAGACAGGCCGTGGGCTCTGTGCTCAACAGCCAGGCCCCTGTGGGGTGCCCATGGCCGTGCCCATGGGGACCCATGTTCTGTCACACTCTGAGATGCAGAGATGACCGTGAGGCTGCCTCGGGCCCGGCGTGAAGGCGCCAGCGTTCGCTCCAGCCCCCTCTGTCCTTAGTTTCCCGTGCATTTTCCGGAGTCTCCTCATCCCCACCCCACTGTTGCAGGGGACGCAGCTGGGGACTGAAGCGGGCTGGCCTCCGCCGTGGGAGACCGGCCAGGACCGTGGCAGGCAGGTGCCTTTCACCCCTGGGTTTCTGCAGGGCGCGTAGCCAGCACCCCCGTTCTCTGTGACCTGCTCCATCAGCCCTTCCCCCAGGCCCGGGAGCTTCGAACACTCCCCCAGGCTGTGGCCAGATCCGGGAAGCGTTGCAGATGGCAGGAAGTCTAGGGGAAACCCAGAGTGGTTAGTGTCTCATGAACCTCAGCCACACACAGCACAGCTCGGCTGTGGCCAGAGAGACAGTCATGAAGGGGCAAGACGTCCAGAACGGTCCACCGAGGGCCCGGTCCTGGTCCTTCGGGGGTGCGGGGCCCCGAGGGCTCTGGCTCTAGGGACACTGGATAGGTGTGGGGTGAAGGTATCGTGAAGACCACACGATATTCTGTCGTCCGGGGAGTGGCAGAGAGGCAACCCTTGGGGGCAGGGCTGGTCGGTGAGGTATCTGGGGGCAGAGTCAGCAGGCGGTGGGGACTGCGGCCTGGGTGGCCCAGAGGCAAGGTGTCTTCCCCGCCCCCATCCCCACACCGTGCCTGGTACACAGTAGGTGCTCAGCGAGGGGGGCCCATTGGCTGTCAGGTGCAGGGCCAGGTGCTGTCACGGCCCACGATGTCATCTCTGGAGACACATCCCAGTTGGCCACATGCCAGGTGAGGGCCCTGGGCCAGGTTGCTTCCCCCTCGGGACCCATCACAGGGTATGCGGCTCCGGGTTACTGGGGGAGCAAATCAAACAGGCAGAGGAACACAAGGACTTGTGAGGCCTCTGGGTGATGGCAGTTTTGAGGGGAGCCTCGTTGTGGATACCCCCAAACCCTCATGTTAAAAAAAAAAATTGGAAAGCAGAACTAAAGAGCAGCACTTATGACAAGATTCAGCACAAGACCCCATGAAACCCCCAAAAAAGTGGGTGGGGATACATCCAGGGTTTTCAGGTTCTCCTCAGGAAACAGGGCTCGGGTCCCTCTGATCTCAGTTTCCCTGAATCCATCTGGGAATTCTTCCCTTCTTCTCACTACCCCCCTTCTTCATGGTGGGGCTCAGCCTGGGGACCGTAGGCCAGGCCCAACCTTTTCAAAGGGCCCTAGATCTGCCTGGCAGGGGCCTACATCCACATGGGAAGAAAAGGAGAACGCAGCTGGGCCGCCGGGGGCCGGATGACAGGACAGCCCTCCAGCGGCCCAGGACTCCGCCAGGCGGTGCCCAGAGCCTTGGAGGATGGCCGCTGGCTGCGGGACTCTCACTGTCCCCAAGCAGGTGAGCACAAGGGGCTGCTGGAGGTATGTGGGCTGAGTCCTGGGAACCTTCAGGACAACGAGGAAACCACATGCCTCATGCCTTGCTGGATACTGGCTGAGGCAGGCTCAGACAATTAGAGAAGGGGTCCTGGACCACAGCACCGAAAAGCTCAGAAACCAGCTCATTTCACCCAAATATGAGCAACAGAAAAGTCCTGAGACTAAAATTCCACACTGATGTTCTTATTTAAAAAGAGAGACTAAAAGGCAGAAGAACACCCCAGGTAGACAAGGAAAGCGTTCCAGAAAGACACACCACAAACCAGACCGAGATGGCGGCCCACCAGTTTTTAGGACCCGAAAATGATCCACGTGAAATGAAAAAGGAGAAAAATCACCCGCCCTTCATTCCCAGGTGAGCTTACAGATGTTAAGGACACAGTAAAAGTCAGGAAAAGAGCAGTATAAGCCAGAAATAGAAAAACCAAGACAGGAGGCAACAAATTCAGGAAATTCAGGAAAGATTTAAAACAAAGGAAAAAAAGTTTTGGAAATAAGGACTAACCTAGAAAGAACACAGTAGATAAAGCCTTATGAGAAATAAAACAGTGTAACAGGAGGACTGTTCTTAAAAGTAGAAAAGAAACAATGACACAGGTGAAAACAACCCTTGCCTACGGAAGAAGGTTGGCAAAGAAGATCCAACATGGGAGCAGCAGGAGCCCCTGCATGGGGGTGCGGGGGGCACGGAGGCCGAACGGGCGAATGCTGACACTGCAGTTCCAGAAAACGTCCCTGAAACTGCAGTCGGAACTACGTATCGAGAGCACACCACGTATTTGAGAATATTTACCCAGAATATTTACACATTCTAGTAAAATCCTGTAAAGAAGAAGGTGGAAAAATCCTTCAGGAATTTAGGTAAAAAGAGCAAGGGACGTAAAGGAATGAAAATTCAATTGTTTTCAGACTTTCCAATGGCAACGCTTTCTGCCAGAAGAAAGTGGAGAAGCGCATGTTAAGATACTCGAGGTGAATGTGAGCCCAGCACCAAACCCCAGCGAACCAGACCTCCCAGCAGCAGAGATGCACGAGGGCATGGGCTGCGGGAAGTCGGGGACTGTTCCCACCAGGGTCTGAAGGTCCTGAGGCCCCGTCTAGAGAATGAGAAACCAGGGAAAATCGTGGAGGAAGGTCAGCTCTAGGACCAAGCCTTAGAGAAGGTTGTGAGGATTGAGGATTGTACTAGGTAGAGGGTCTTAAGGACGGCGTAGGCCGCAGGGAGATGTAGAAACCAGAGCAAGGCTGGGGAGAGCCTGCGAGACAGTGGGTTGTGTCAGGAATCAGCCCTACCGTGGTACTGTTACTCCAAGACGGCGGAGTGTGGGACGAGGGATAGAGCAAATGAGAAATGATGAGATACTGTGGTATGACTATCAGGTCCTTCGAGCCTGAATTCTAAATGTGAAAGAAAAGGGGTAGCAGGCGTAAGACAGAAGACTTGAAGTCAAAATGCTGGATGCCTGGATTCTGGGTTGGAAATATCAGTTTGAACTCATGAAGCACTTTAGAGTTAAAAGAAATATTGGTATATTTCCTGGCTCTGTCCACCGAAAAAGTCTTAAAAAAAAAAAAAAAAAAAAAAAAAAAGACTAACCCGGTATAAATGAGCATCCTGGAGTCTGCACCATGGTCTTTTTTTTTTTTCTTTTTTTTTAGGATTGTATTTATTTATTTGTCAGAGAGAGACCGCAATCAGGAGGGGCAGCAGCAGAGGCAGAGGGAGAAGTAAGCCCCTCGCTGAGCAAGGAGCGGAAGGTGGGACTCCATCCCGGGATACTGAGATCATGACCTGAGCCGAAAGCAGACACCTAACAGGCTGAGCCACCCAGGAGTCCCCACACTGTGGTCTTGAAATGCAATTTCTTACAAAAATAAACCAGGGCTTTTTGGAGAAATGGTCAATTCCGGGTCTGCAGCAGGAAATAGACAAGATGAGCCCAGAACACCCAGACCCCCAGAGAGCAAGAAAGCCGCCGCAGACCAGGGTCATGTCGAAAGGTCTCCGGGTCCAGCTTGCAGGCGTGTCCACTGGCCAGAGATGGCCAAGTTCAGCTGGAAAAAGATAGTACTTGAAATGATGGAGACCTTTAGCTACATCCACATCCATGTGTCCACGGTGAGTAAACAAAGATCCTGACCGGTCACGTGTGTGGAGTGAGAGCAGGTCGGTCCGTTACCCCTACACTGACAATGAAAAAGAAAGTCTCCAGTATTTCCGAAGGACGCAGGTGGACCATCTTGTCCAGCAGCGGTAACTCCAGATGACACCGGGAGACAAAGGGAAGCCATTTCCGGAGAGGGCGGAGTTTGCTTCCGTGCAGGTAAGGCTTTGACTACGGGGCCCATCCAGCAGCTGAGGGGGGTGTGGAGAGGGGAGGGAGTCACACGGCTTCCTTTCTTGGCCCAGACAGCCCTTAAAGGAGTTCCGCTTATCACACCTCCCTAAGCTGCACATATGTTACGTGTGTTTCTCTGTAGATGTTTTATCTTATGATACAAAGTGAACAAATGGAAGATTCTTTTTAAGGTGGTAGACGCTGTTCTTCCTGTGGGGGAGGCTCGCTGCTATTGGCGCTCCTGAGAACATGGGAAAACCCGATTACAGGCCAGTGGGAATAATTAGGGGACTCAGACCAAGGACGGCTTCCTGGAGGAGGTGGAGCTTGGAGAGCGGACGGGATTTGGTTTAGATCAGGCCTTCTTGACCTTGACACTGTTGAAATTTGTGGCGGAGAATTCTTTGTTGTCGGGCTGGTCTGTGCCCTGCAGGATTTCAGCAGCAGCCCTGGTCTTTACCCACTAGACGCCAGGGGCCCCTCCTCCCCCAGTTGGGACATCAAATGTTTCCAGAAATTACCAAATGTCCCCTGGTGACAAAATTTCCCCAGACGAGAACTACTGGTTTAAAGAACCATCAACAAAGTAGAAATGAATAAAAGCCCAGAACTTCTTGGGAGTCTCTGCCTGCGGGTACTCCTCTCCTTTCTTTGGCTTCTAGGCCCATGAGAGACCAGAGCAGCTGCTGGTCCAGGCCCCACGGGAGTCTGTTTCCTGCCCGAGCTCCTGCAGGCCTGCCCACAGTCAGGGCTGGGGGTCCCGTGACCCAGGCTGTGGCCGGAGTCAGGCAGGGTGGTTGCAGACACCTGCCCACCCCCCACCCCACCCCACCTCATTTCACTGTGGGGAAACTGAGGCACGCCATGGGGACAGAGCCTCCAGGCTGGCCCTCGGTGTCCTGATTCTCAAGGCATACAAGACTTCTGAATCATGAAGGACCTCAATGTCCTCCAGGCTTCCCCCGGTTGGTAATTTCTGAGCAGCTCCTGCGTGCTTTGCCCTGGGCTCAGACAAGTCTCTACAGCCCTTCACCCGCATTCCAGAAGCCCCCTGATGCCGGCTCCTTGTAGGGGCAGAGGACCGGAGGGGCTCTATGTCCTGGAGCATGGAGGACCAATGGCAAACCAAGTCGGGGTGTGACGTGTGCAGCGAGGGGTCAGCCCGCCGAGGTGGCTGTGGCTATGGTGACAGTCCCTGTCGCCCACTAATCTTGCACTAGTTTCAGAGAGACAGAGAGACCCAGTGTGCACACCAGGGAGGACTGCACTCTCGGGGCCCGCGAGTTCCCAGACCGCCCAGGGACCACCGTGCCAGGGGTTGGGAGGCGGCGGGGAAGGGTCACTCTGGGCTCACCATCCAGCTCTACTTGGATTTGCCTAAGATTTCATTTGAAGCAAAGAATTCTGCTATTTCTTTTTTTTAGATTTTTATTTATTTATTTGTCAGAAAGAGAGAGAGCGAGCACAGGCAGACAGAGTGGCAGGCAGAGGCAGAGGGAGAAGCAGGCTCCCTGACGAGCAAGGAGCCTGATGTGGGACTCGATCCCAGGACGCTGGGATCATGACCTGAGCCGAAGGCAGCTGCTTAACCAACTGAACCACCCAGGCGTCCCGAATTCTGCTATTTTAAAATACAAGTTCTCAGGATGTCTGGGTGGCTCAGTCGGTTAAATGTCTAACTCACGATTTTGGCTCAGGTCGTGATCTCAGGGCCATGGGATCGAGCCCCACATGGGCGTCCGTGCTCAGCGGAGAGTCTGCTTGTCCCTCTCCTTCTGCCTCTGCCTGTCTGTCTGAGCTTTCTTGAGAGCTCTCTCTCTCTAAAGCAAATAAACAAATAAAATCTTTAAAAAACAAGTTCTCAAACCACAAAGCTGGGTTGTCTATGGTTGGAGACCACCCTGAGGGCTAGAGAAGCCAAGGCAGGCGGGGGTCCTGAGGAGTGAGGACAGCGTGGGGCAGGGAAGGATGGCGGGCGGGGCTGATGTCCCGGTGGCGGCGGGCTCTCCCTGACCTGTGGCTGTGGACCAACCCCAGAACTCGCCCCCGTGCTGCTGGGCTCGTGGACTGTGGGGCCACGCGTCTGGACAGGGCTCAGCGAGAGACAGCTTGTCTCTGCTCTGCGACACCAGGGCCTCCGCGGGGACCTCAGCTGGGGTGGCTCCTGGGACGGAGACCATTCAGCAGCTGAGGGCAGCGGCCACCTGCAGACTTCTTCCCTCACATGCCAGGGCGACCGCCACACGGTGCTCTGCTGGGACAGGCCCCTGGAGCCTGCCATGTGGCCTCACCGTGGAGCCTTGCTTCCTCACCATGTGGTGGTTACTTTGGAAGAGGGTGCATCCCGAGGGGAAACATCTGGAGAGGAGCCGTCCGAGGAAGCCAGACAGAGGCCCGAGGGCCTTGGTGATCCGGCCTCGGGGGCCAGGCAGCGTGACCTCCGCAGCACAGTGTTAGACAGTTCAGCAAACAGCTAGACTCGAGGGGACGGGACACATCGCCCCTCTCTTGGCAGGATGAGTGCCAAAGATCTGCAGTCATTGTTTTAAAAACCACCACAATGACGGTTACTGAGCCCGTCCTTGGTGCTAGGTACCGCCTAAATGCACAACCGGCCAAAACTATGGGAAGGTGTTGGGAGTGAGCATCCCATCCTACAGAAGAGGAAACTGAGGCACAGACAGGGTAAGGAGAGCCTGGTGCAGAGCTGGTAAGTGGCAGAAGCCATGTCCAGACCCACGTCCCTCCCCTGGTTGAGAACCACCTATTTCTGCCAAGCGCACTTAGGATAAACTCAGCCTCCCAGCCCCGACAAGGAAGACCTTGCCTCATCTGGCTCTGCCCTGTTTCTGCCTCCTCTCCTGTCCCATTCTTCCCACTCAGGGAGCTCTCCAGCCACACTGGACATGACACACGGGCCTGTCGGGGGCTCTGCCTCAGCGGTGTCTCCTCCCACAGTCCACTCCCCGGACCGTTGCTAGTCTGCCCCTCTCGTCATTAGGCTCTGGCTCCTGTGGTTCCTTCTCCCCGCATCCTGGCCTCTAATGCAGACTGAAATGATTCCACTGGTGTACTGGTTTTATGCTTGGCCTCCACCTGGTGGAGCACAGGGTCTGAGAGAGGAGGCTGTGCCTTTCTTGTGGGTGCTGGCTCCATCAGCCCCTGTCGGGACCTGGCAGAGTGGGCGCTTGGCGGACACAGCCCGGGGTCCGGTGGTGAGTGAGTGAGTGTCCGCCTCCACGCCAGCTTCTCCAGCACTCCGTCGCCCTGCACGGTGCCGGCTCGCCTCCACTCACCTGTGCCCTTGCCGTCAGACAGAGTGGAGGTGTGTTACTATTCAGGGCGGACTCAGCGAGCGTGTGCTCAGCTTTGGGGGGGGTTTCAAGTCTGTGCCGCCCCCGCGCTCATTCCAAGTGTCTGTTTGTCAGGTGGAGACACCAAGGCCTTGAGCTGCCCAAGGTGGTGTAGCTGGCTGGTGGTGCCAGGATCAACACAACGGCCTCGGGGCTATCCACGTCCACCTCCCCGATGAGAAAAGCAGTCCCTGGATGCGAGGGACTGGCCTGGGGTTCCCTGGCTCCTGAGTGCAAAGCCGGGGCTAGAACCTTGTCCCTTCCAGGGTTCCTGGGCCCTCCCAGGGCTCCCAGACTCCCCTGCAGTACCCTCCAGCCCAGCCCCCGCCCCCTGCACTGAGGGCCACCCCTGTGGGATGTGCTGGTGAACAGGACCTGACTGACCTCAAGGAGCCGCCCTCCTCTGAAGAGGGAAGAAAAGCCCCCCACGGGTGTTTCCTGCTTCCAGGAGAGCCCGCCAAGGGCTGCCTCCGTGCCCTTCCGCAGTAGCAGCTGAGCGAGGTGCTCCCGGGGGACGGGCGGGCCCCGCAGACCTGCAGGTTCTGCACAAAGCAAAAGGAAGCTGACGTCACCAGAGGGAGGTAAACAGAAAGACGCTTCCTCTTTCGCTTCCAAGGGCTCCTGCCCGATTCAGAAGGTTCTCAAACTACAGAACAATTTCCCTCCCAGCCTGGACGGGGGCTCCGTGACCTGTTCTGGGGCTGCCCCCTTTGTGGCACAGAGAGGGTTAAAAACAGACAAAGCCGGTGGGAGTCCTAGAGTTGGAACAGAATCCCAGAGCAGGGCTGGGGGGCGGTTTCCATGCCAACAGCTGCCCCACCCCATCCCGTCCCCTTCAAGGGTGGGGAAACTCAGTCCCCAAGGGATCAAGCCATCTCTGCACAGATGACTTGAACAGACAAGGCCTCAGCCCTGTGGTTTGGGGGCCCAGGAAACTCGCCTCACCCAAGCAGCTTTCTCACCATTGGCTCCAGACGCCTACATGTCCGTCGTCGTGTGATTACTCCCTGGGGTGTCTCGTCTCGGCTGGAGCAGCAGGGACACCTCGGTTGAGGGGAGCTTCCACTCTGCCACGGCAAGTCCTCTTCTCTCTCTGGTCTCAGTCTCCTTCCCGGCGGAAGGGGCTCCGGCAGCTGCCTCACAGAGCCACTGGCAAGACTACTGAGGCACGGTACGGCCGGAGTGGGTGCTTCAGGCTGCTTTCTGTACAGTGGAGATCAGGACTATACCTTCTGTGGCCATTAAGACTAGGCAACACGTGACAGAAAACCTCTAAAAGTGGTAGTATGCAAGATGAAAGTTTGTTTTTTCTCATGTCAGAAAAATCTGGGACTACACAGTCATCAGAGACCCAGGTGCCTCCCATCTTTCTACACTGCCATCTTATCCCCTTGTGGTACAAAATGGCTGCTAGAGATCCAGCCATCACATCCTGGCTCTGGGGAGCAGGAAGGAGGAATGAGGAAGAGGGTCATCGTGCATTTGAACTTTCCTAGAAACCTCACATAATGGCTCCTCACTCATTCCTATTTTCAAGAAAGGAGGGAAAGGTCATTTTTTCAGCTGGGCACATTGCCATCACCAGCAGTACAAAGGTTCTGCTAGTAAGGAAGAAGAGGATAATGGATACTGGGAGACCAGTAGTCTCCTACACGCGCTCCTCAGCCTTATGGCTGACAAAGTGCTCTATTAACTGGAACCATTAATCAAATATAAGGAAATCAATATCAGAAAAAATAAAATTAGGGGCGCCTGGGTGGTTCAGTCAGTGAAGCCTCAGGTCATGATCTCGGGGTCCTGGGATCAGGCCCCGCATCAGGCTCCCTGCTCAGTGGGGAGCCTGCCTCCCTCTCCCTCTGCCACTCTGCCTGCGTGTGCCATCACTCTCACTCTATCTCAAATAAACACATAATTTTTAAAAAGAAGGTAAAAATGAAATTAAAATAGACTTTTTTTTTAAATGACCCTCTTTTCACAAAGACAGCACCAAAACCAAGAAGGAAGCCCCTGTCCAGGCCAGACCAGGCCCGAGCCAAAGCGAACACCCAGAAGTGCACGAGGCGGCATGAGGTTGGCGGGGATACAAGGTAAGTGTCCCGTCCCTGCCTTTGGCAGCCCAGATGCCTTGGGGAGGAGCCCCCCAGGATGACGAGCTTGAGCCTGATGCCCTCATCAGGCCCCCCGTGAAGAAGAGAGAGGAGCACCGAGTGTCCTTTCTGAGTGCCCAGGCTGGGAGGGTGCTCTGTGGCCTCCTGCGGCCAAGGCCAGCGCCTGCGCTCAGCTGGCTCCAGCCTGTGACACTTTGATGTTCCCCAAACTGGAGTCCCCGGAGCCACGTCCAGCCGGCGCGTCCTAACATGTATTTTTCATCACGAAGAAAGAAAAGCCCTCGTGGAAGAGCCACAGGTGGCCTCGAGGGCAACCATGCCACGCCCGCTCCCGGGGCTCATCAGTTCCGTGGCCGGGACTCTCGTGCCCGCCCATGACTCCTCCACAGTTACGGTCCCAGGAGCTCCGGGACCTGCGCGTCCCCAGAGCAGTCCGGTCAGTGCCGCCAGGCAGACGCTTACGGGAGGCCAGCGCCCACGGCTGGAGGTTCCTCTGGGAATGGAAACTGCCCCTGAGGGTGTATCGTGGTACCTGCTCAGGGCTGCTGGGGACCCCGCCGTGAGCAAGGATCCCAATTCCTGTTCTCTGAGCTTCAGGACAGGAGCCAGGGCACAGGGTACGAGCCCCGGAGGAAAACGATGATGGGGACGCGGGTTGCGGAGTGCGTGTCGCCGAAGACGTTGACGTTTTGGATCAGGTGTCCCTGAAGACCTCGGTGAGCAGGTGACATCAGAGTAAAGACAGAGGAGGAGGGGAGGGAGGGGTGCAGGTTCTGGGCAGAGGAACAGCAGGAGCAAAACCCCAGGTGGGAGCAGGCCTGGTGGGCCAGAAGAAGAGCCGGAGGCCAAGGTGGCCGGGGCAGGAGAGAGCAAGGGCAGGGTACCAGGGAGAAGGTCGGAGAGGACGTGGGACTGGACAGGCGCTGGGGCAATTCTGGGCCAGAGGGCTACTGGGAGCTGCTGTCCTGAGAGGGGAGGCGGGGTAAGGCCAGGGTCCAGAGAGGCGTTTTTCTGTCAGGAGAGGGGCGGGGCAAGGCAGGAACGACCTGGGCTCTGTCCTCAATGTGCAAACCAGCTTTAAAGAGAAGCAAGAGGCCTCATGTTCATTCATTCATGTGAGACCACCACCCAGGCCTCAGACCTGGGGCCCACGTGGACGGGGTCAGGGAGGGCATGTAGAATGGGGTCGGGGGCAGCCAGCTCTGAGCTCACTGGGAGTTTTCAGGGACCCGGCCAATAACAAGGGCCCATTGCAAGTCCCTGGCCTGTGTGCCTGATGGTCCTGGCTCTGAGCCAGGAAGGGGTCTTCACTCGGAGCTTTTGGATGGGGGAGTCCCTGGGGAGGGGGTCTCAGGGCAGGAACAGTCATGGGGAGTACCTGCTGGGTCAGCCAGGGCTGCGCCAGAGGGGAGGCTCGCTCTGTGGGGAGGTGGGAAGGGAAAATGGCATGGAAGTTTCTGAAAGGGCCTAGAGAATTAGATGCCGCTGCACCTCCTTTAGTTGGTTGGGAGTTGGGTGTGGGGGGGCCCAGAATGCCAAGCAGTGGGCTGTAGCACCAGGGAGCCACGGAGCACCCTGAGCAGGGAGGTATAGGACATTCCGATCATGGGCAGAGCAGCTGAGGGCCTTGCCGGGCACGAGGTGCCACCCCAGCCTTCTGCTCAGCTCGGTCCACACCATGGGCCACATCCCACAGCAGAAGGCAGCAGTGAAGACCGGACCCCTGCCAACAAGTGGCCTCCAGCCAGGCAAGTGCTCCCAGAGAGCCAGGCAGGCTCCCTGGGGCTATGGCGTCCGCTCAGGAGGGCAGCCAAGGTCAGACCAAGGCCCCAGCTGGGTGCAAAGGAGGCGCCACCAGGCCAGGCTGGGGACCTGAGTGCCAGGCTGGGCATGGAGGGCAGCCCTGGCTAGGAGGCAGGTGGGGGATTGACCAGAAGGCCAGGATGGCAAAGACGCCCCGAGTAAGGTGCTGGTGAGAGATGGGATCAGGTTTGGCAGCAAAGCATCAAGGCTCTGCTCCGCTGTACCCCGAGGGCTCGCTGGGCCTCTGCGATGGATGGACACGTGGGCTTGGCTTCCAGCCCCAGCCCCACCTTGGGACGCCCCCACACCTGACTTGTATGAAGTAGGTCTAAGGGGAGTCCTGGCCCAGAGCATGGGGTGCGGTGTGGGTCTGTGGGAGAGGCATGACCAGGGACCCTTGGCTCCAGGAATCACCAGCTGTAAGACACGGAGCCGCTCTAGGAGCATTCGCTGGTGTGAAACGGGATGCCTGTTCCCATCTCACGAAATGCGGCGAAGGTCTGGTATAGGGCATGTAGGCAACGGCGCGACTCAGCAGATGGCCCTATCGCCAACCTGCAGGTCTCTCTTCAAGAGCTCCGCCAAGGTCGCAAGTTGTGAGGGCGCTGAGACCGTCCGGCGCGTGCTGTTCAGGTGTCGCTCCGGCTCGGTGTTCCCCGCAGACCCATCGATGGAGCATTTGTCAAATATACCAAGCGCAGTTGGGCCAGGAGGCGAAGCCAGAGCTGCGGCGGTGAGAGCGGGCGCTTAGCCGTCCTGCCACGATGGCAAAACTCCGGGTGAGGACAAACCGCTTCCGGGAAGACTGGACCCGGCACCGGCTGTCGCCCCGGTGCCGTCGGTGCAGGGACGTGGCGAGGCGGCCTCCTGGCCCGCCGGGGGTTGGGAAGCCTGACGCAGAGATCGGGGCATGAGGTGAGCTCGGTCTGTCGGAGGAGAAGTCATTTGACATAAACGCACTTTGGGCTAAAGAAAGATTCGCAGTAAGGGAAAGAGCAGAGTTCGGGGCTGACTTGGCGCTCTCACACGATTCTTTGGAAAAGGTTTAATTAGAACAGGTTCCAAATGGCTGTAGGAAAACCCCACAGTCCATACGAACCCAGAGACCCCTTGCTAAATCCAGGCTGTGTCTGGGGCAGGGGGCCGCGGTGCTGGGGACAATCGCCCCGTTTGACTTGGATTCCCACCGTGGTATGAGCCGGTCACTCAGTCGCTGAGGCGGGGGGCCATGCGGCTGGTCCACGCCCGGCTGGCTCCAGGCTCCGGGTTGCTCTGTGCTGGGTAAGGGGTGAACGGTGTCTCTGAGAAGGACGGACTGACACCAGGCTTAGCAACCCCCCCACTGCCCCCCCAGCACACCTGAGGGCACGCAGCAGTCCAGCGTCCCCAGACCTCAGCCTGAGGCCTGCCCCCCCCCCCCCGCCATCTTGGACAGTGATCTGGAGCAGGGGGACCTGACAGTCTGGGAAGGTCTGGGGCTGCGGGGACCTGCTGACTTGTCTCCGCACCCCTGACACACGGCAGATGCTCAGTGATCGCTGCTGTGCGTGCATCGGGGAACCTGTCTCCTGGATCCGTTTTCGGAGACTCATTAAATACCGGTCAACGCCATGCCTGACAAACACAAGGGCAGGCCTGCCCTAATCCAGGATGATCTTGTCCTAAAGTAGCTTCACATCTGCAAAGATGTTTCCAAGTAAGGTCACGTTCCAAGGCACAGGGGACATGAGTTTGGAGGGACGCTTTTCCCTCCAGCTAAGAGTCTGAGGGATCTCCCCCCTTCCCCATATGATCTCACAGCTGTCCGCTCATATGTTCCCGTGGGGGGGCTGCTTCTCAGGGGTGCAGGGCTGATGCACAGAGCTGTGCGGCGAGAGGCTGGGGCTCGGCCTGGGGCAGGGTGGGTGGGAGGTGTCCCGAGTGGCTCCCACAAGCCCGAGACTGGGTACCAAGGCACAGGTCAGAACCGGGAATGGCCAGGCCGGGGAGTGGGGGTGGGGATGCGGCCAGAGTGGAGCAGAGGATGGGGGAGGGACAGGGCGGGACGCCGCGGGTGAAGGCCGTGGGCAAGTTCTGGAGGGGGTGGCTAGGTGCGAGGATGCCCCTGGGTTCCTGGGCTCCCTCTCCTGGGTTTCTCCTGGACCAAGCAGACACGCCCATGCCCGTCCAGCAGGGGAGGAAGACCCCAGCCTGGGTCAGTGGAAGGTGAGGAGCTGTCTCCCTTCTCCAAGATCTGACCCCCAGCGGGAGCCGGCACGAGCTCTTAGACCCATGCACAGGGTGAGGGCTGTTTTCAGGTAATGAGAACATCTGAGACCCAAAGCCTGTGGTGCTTTTAACGAAATGCACCCTGACTAACTGTGCTGGCCCGGCCCTTCCAGACCATTCGCTGTCAGGGCCCTCAGTCCTCCCAGGAGGGGGTGGAGTGCACTCAGGGCCTGCAGCCTCCTCCCTCCGCAGGAGTGTTCCTAGATGCATGGAGGGAAGTGGGAGTGGCTCCTTCCTTCCTTGAAGCCCTTGGAAGGGCTTCAGGGCTTGATGAGGACCAAGGACATCTCAGTGGGTCAGGGGTGAATGGGGGAGGGGGGACCCAGGTCCCCCAGGGATCCACTGAGTCCCCTGTCCACCAGATAGCTCTCCGTCTCCCTCTTCTCCAGGTGTGCACACGCACACGCACGCACACGCACGTGCAGAGGCAAACACACAGGTGTGAGTACACACCTGGAAATGCCGCCGCCAGCTGGGGAAGGAGGGATGGAGCTCGGGAGCAGGGGGTCCTCCAGGCCTCTGCCCCACCTTGACCATGAGGTCAGCCTGGCTTTGGCTTTAGAGACGAAGAAGGCCGGGGTGGGACAGGAGAGACCCTGCCGCTCTGACCTGAGCTGGCCCAAGAAACCCACCTGCTGGCCGGGGACCTGGCAAGCCCAGGACTTCCGAGCCTTCTCTGTGGGTGGGAATAGGACCACCCTCCTGGGCCGGGACAGAGCGTGCCCTGCTAGGACTGAGCTCCACAGGCTCCTTCAAGAGCCCTGGGAGGAGAAATCCTGTCTCTTTGGGGAAAGTCGTTCCAGTCTGGCAGCAGAGGCCCCCCTTCTGTGTCCCTGAGGCCCTGCTCTGACCTTTCTGAGCTTGTTCAGGACCCAGCTGGAAGCCCCGCCCTGGGTGGTGAAGAGACAGGGAGGCCACCAGCCCTCCCCAGTGTCCATGCCAACACGCACCGTGTGTGGGGGGAGACAGGCCCCACCTGCACTTACAAAGCACTGTGAGGTGACGGCTTTGAACTCTCACCGTCCTGGGAGCTACAGACTGGACTGACTTTGGCCCGGTGGTCTGAAAAGCCCTTCTAGTATACCGTTCCCATGAGGGAGCTGTTGTTAACTGCCCAGCAGACGTCAGGACCCCTGCAGAGGGGCTGAAGGGCTCCCTCGGGGGTGAGCCTGTCTCGCCCCGGGAAGGCTCTGGCCACACACAGAGCAAGGTCAGCCTCGGGCAGGGGCCTGGGCTTTGGAGGCAGACTGGCCCAGGTGTGCCTCCTCGCGCTGACCACTGGACGCTTTTGGGTCCGTGGCTGACCTGCCTGAGCCTCGGGTCCTGATCTACGAAGTGGGGGGGCGCGTCGTCATGGTGTTGCAGGCAACGGAGAAGAGGATGCACGTGTCTACATGAGGCAGTGCGCACGGGCTGGGCGGGCAGACTTCGCCGGCATCACCACAGCCTGCCCCTCACCTCCGTCGGCCCTGGCCAGGCTGGGTAGTGTCGCAGGGGGTCCCCCGGAGGGGAGAGTCCAGGAGCAGGGACATCTGTCTTGGACTGAGGGTCCAACTGTGCCTTCATGCCAGCCTCATGGGGTCCGTCTGGCTCTCCCCTTCGCAGCTGGCGAAGGGTGCAGGGCGGGCTCAGAGGGGTCTTGTCGCCGCCAGCGCTCGTGCCCTTTGCCCCGGACGGGATGTAGGGCAGCACGTTGTCTTCTGAAGAGTGCCGCCGGAGAGGGCTGGGGTGGCCCGAGACTCCGGAGCTGGGAGCAGGTGAGGGGGAAGGCTGGCTAGGAGGTTAGAAGCCCAGGGGCAGCACAGAGGTCACGGGCCTCATGGTCGGAGGAACACAATGAGGGCCTGAGAGCTGCATTGGGGTGTGGAGGGTCGCCCTAACTGGGAAGCAGGGAGGCAGGTACAGGGGCGTGGGGGACTTCCTGAAGGGAGGTGGTATCTGATCCAAGGAAAGGTAAACCAGAGTTACCGGGGAGGGAAGGGGAAAGAGCCTTCTAGGGCAGCAGGAACCACAGGTGCAGAGGACAATAACCTTGAGTCACCTTGGCCTCTCTCAAGTGCAGGTTAGCGCCTTTCTTCCTCTTTTCCACCCATTCACTGTCAGCTGCCTCTTTTTACTAGTCTTGATTCCCGGTCTGGATGGGTTAAGATAGTTCTCGCATCCGTCCCCTCCTCCCGCCTGAGCACCAGCAGCGGCTGACCACAGTGGCAGCTGACGACCCGTTGGGCACCGCTGGTTTCCTGTTTCCTGTGGAAGTCACCTTTTGTCCCCATCCTTGCAACCTGCTCGCTGTCTCGGGACATCGGGGACAGGTGCGTGGGGTCTGAAGTGGGGGAAGTACTGTCCACGCAATCGCATTGTTGGAAACACAATGGTGCTCCAGAAATAGACGGGACCATTGGCTTTCCCTTTTTTCAGATTTACGAAGTGTTTCATATTTACGAAGAACGTGTCTGACTGTGGTAACACGGGCCCTCCTGCCCCACCTGCCGAGCACTCACACGGCCTCCGCTCCCATCCCGAACTCAGCGTGGGCACCCGTTGTCCTGCCTTACACTCTTCTGACCCTGGTGTGTCTGTCCACGCTTGGACTTTGCTACCTGATGCCATAGCGCGTGTTTTCCTGTGACTTTATCCTTCTAACTCAGTACTGGGTTGGCGAGTCCCTGCTGAATGGCCAGCACCCTGTGGGGCAGCTGGACCCTCACCACGGACGGGAGGACTTTATCCTCTTACTCATCAAACATCTCGGGATGTTTGGATGTTTGGGAGCTGGGCCCGGGAGGCGATGTACGCAGGGTGCGAATGGCCGGCCTGGGGTCCCCAGCCTGCGGGCGCTGGGCCGGGTCCACGTCAGGGCAGAGCCGATTTCTACCCCAGGACGCCCCAGAACTGCCAGGCCCGATGGTGGCCGGCTCACGGGAGACATGTGATGGACGTTTCTCGTGCAGAACGGGAGTCGCTCCTCAGGGGAGGGGAGCACTGTTGCTTCCATTTTGCCACCAACAACGCAGAGCATTGACCCGAGGTGACGCGGGCCTGAGAAGCCTGGCGGGACCTGGGCACCGCCTAGGATCCCTGCAGGACCACGGGGCCAGCCTGACACATGGCCCAGCGCCGCTCGGGGCAGGGCCTGGTGGAGGGCTTGTTGGATCTGGGTCCGCAGTGATGGGCCGCCCTTTGCACCCCTGCGAGCCCCAGGAGGCGCTGAGCTCTGAGATTATTCAGCCTCCGAGGGAGCCTCGCAGTTAGCACTTCCCAACACGTGGCTTCCTCCTCTTCATGAACATTTGGAAGAGAAAACTACCTTCGCCAGTGGGGCTCTCCAGCTGCTTAGGGCGGGAGGTCAGAGGTGTCTGGCAAGGTGGTGGCCGCCATGCCGTGGACCCTGATCCGGGCCAGGGCAGAGCGGCGGGCAGGACAGACTTCCCTCGCCAGCTCCTCAGCTGCAGGACCCAAGTGCTCGCTTGTGGGCTCTGCACACGCCGCGCCGTCCCCTCTGCCTCGCCTGCCGGGCGCTCCTCTTCTCCCTGGGAAATGCCTCTTCAGCTTCGTGGCTGGTCTCAGGGGCTTCTCCTCCTGCCTGAGCCCCCCGGAACACGGCTCTGATTCCTCAGTGCCTCTGCCTCCCTTCTCCCATGGGTGCGCCCCTGCCGGCCCAGGAGCTCCTGGGGGGAGGGCTTGTGTTTTATTCTTTGTGCGCCCAGCTGCTATCATAGGACCAGACCTATAGTAGGTGCTCAATAAACACCCCAACAGAAATGAGGACACTGAGGCTGGGAGATGAGGCGCCTTCCTAGCTAGTGCCTTCAGACGGCCTGGGTCCGGAAGTGATTGCATCTCAGCGCTTCACGGTGAACCTTTTCTCCCAACATGCTGGTCCGCTCATTTCCTGGAGAAAACTGTTTATTCAGACTCGTGTTTTTCTTTGGGGATATGCAAACTTTACCCAGAAAAGTCAAAGCCTGGCTTATATTTTCACATGGAAAACCAGCGAGCCCTTGGCTCTGGATTTTTGTGAGGAATAAATAATTTAATGGTTTAAAAACCAGTTGTAGGGGCGCCTGGGTGGCTCAGTGGGTTAAGCCTCTGCCTTCCGCTCAGGTCATAATCCCAGGGTCCCACATCCGGCTCTC